CGAGCACTCGGTCGTGCCGAAGAGAAACTTCCAGGTACCCTGTGGTGCTACGCGCGGCGGGGGGGGGGGGACTCACCGAGCACTCGGTCGTGCCGAAGAGAAACTTCCAGGTACCCTGTGGTGCTACGCGCGGCGGGGGGGGGGGGACTCACCGAGCACTCGGTCGTGCCGAAGAGAAACTTCCAGGTACCCTGTGGTGCTACGCGCGGCGGGGGGGGGGGGACTCACCGAGCACTCGGTCGTGCCGAAGAGAAACTTTCAGGTACCCTGTGCTACGCGCGGCGGGGGGTGGGGGTGGACTCACCGAGCACTCGGTCGTGCGGAAGAGAAACTTCCAGGTACGTCCGCGCGCTTGCCTGCGATGCGCTGGGGGGCGGGGGGTGGCTCCGGCCAATTAGATGGTAACAGGTGTGTAAGATTCAGTGCATATGAAAGACTAGCATTCAGAGTATAGGACTCTGAGCGGTTATATTGATGACTGTTCCTCAGGCATCCGCCAGCGTTGGGATGTGTGATTTTATGTCATCATAGAGAAATTACACGATTTACTTCACCCACAGCTACTAGCTGCTGCGCCCGGCCGATCGATTGCAATACTAGTTGCAAAAGAAACACTGGGTTTACACGGCTGATATGTGTGGCTGCTGGTTTTGCTAATTCGTACAATTCTGTTGTTCAAAAGCAATAATTAGGATAAACTACTACTTTTAAGCTTGTACTAGAAATCATACCTTCCATCATTTATTATTCGTTCAAATTGTTCCACAACTATCAATGCTAAATTAATAAACAATTAATGATTAATCAGTTGTTATTACTAAATAATCAAAATGTTAATCATAATTAAAAATTAATTAATCACATTGATGCCTAGGAATTCGTTCTCTCTCCCGCTCCCTCCCCGTCTCTCTCTCCCTCCCTCCCTTCCCCTCCCCCTCTCTCTCTCTCTCTCTCTCTCTCTCCCTCTCCCTCTCTCTCATTACTGCTCTGTCACTGTACTCTCTAATGAAATTGTGTGGCCGGCAGAGAGACCCAGACGACCCGTCGGCAGCCGCGCTCAAGGAGCCGTGGGAGGACAAGGTGCAGCGGATACGCGACTCCTCCCCTTACGGACACTTCCCCAACTGGAAGCTGCTGTCCGTCATCATCAAGTGCGGCGACGACCTGCGCCAGGAGCTGCTCGCCTACCAGGTTCTCAAGCAGCTGCAGGTGTGTGTACGTGTGGGTGTGTGTGTGTGTGCGTGCGTCTGTCTGTGTGGGTGTGTGTGTGTGCGCACGCTCGTGTTACACTGAAAGTGTCCTTTGTGGGCAGGTGGCCCTTCTGTAGAGGTGACTTTTTCCGTGTAACTGCCAAATAAGGGATATGCCAAAAGTTCTTTTAGGTTTCTCTCTAAGGCTCTTCGGTCTGACATGACGGCATGCGCAATCAAACCCATCTGCAAGTGTCCCCGTCGTTGCAAAGTACTGAATTGCTCCGCCAGAACATGCGGTCCCACAGGTGTAAGCGGCGACGTTGACGATCACGATCCTTCTTTCTCTTTGTCCCTCCCCTTCCCTCCCGGCTTTAAACACCGTGCGGTAGGCGTAGTTCTCGCGTGTCAGGAGACAGCTGGCACGAGCTCGGAGGCAGCAAGAGAGCCGCGTGTCCATACGCGCGTCGCCCCCTCTTACCAGCTGTGGCCGGCCGAATGGTGTCTTTGACCCTGGCGTACACGTATACATTTGTCCGCTCAATGCGTCGTTCGCCCACCTCAGTGTATTTTCGCTGACCTTTCATACCTCACTTCTCCCCATCGCTTAATCACGATGTCAATACTTACCCATTACCCGCGAGCACTCGGTCCGTGCCCTCCTCCCCTACCTCAACCCCCGCCCCCCTCCCACGGCGCACCCACCGAAACCACGCCGTCGCTCACACACGGCGCACGCCAACGCCGAACGCACGCACCACAACGCCCGGCAATGCAAGCACACCCTCACAACCCGACGCAACGCCGCGACGCCAACGCACCCCGCCAGGGCACCGCACGCAAACGGCACGCAACGTGGGGGGGCCCGCCCCCCAAACCACCCCATCCCTCCCCCACAACCAAACCAACGCACAACTGTCGTTGAACCTGTGGCAGGAAAGTAGGGCAGAACGAGGCGCGTAGGGCGGCGCGCAGCTGCGCACAAAAGTTTCGCTGCGCGTTAAGGAACGTCTCCGCTGTTCCGCGGAGCCGAACTCGTGCAGGAAGTACTCGAGCAGCGTCTTCTTGCTGTTCTTCTTGATCTGGTGCAGCGAGACGGCGTTCACGATGGGCTCGATCATACCAGAGTCCGGCGACGTGACGAGGATGTGGTACGGCTGCAGCCACAGCGGCAGGTGCTCCGACTCCCAGATACTCTGTAACGCAAAGGTGCGCGTGCGAGGTCACATGCTGCGCTAGTGGCGTACGCCTGTCTATAGAGGACACCTGTCTATAGAGGACAACTGTCTATAGAGGACACTTGCAGATGGGTTAGATTGTGGATGCAAAAACGGGCCTACGCACGCGTGCACACGGTCACAGCTGTGCTGGCGGCGATACCTGTCTACAGAGGACACTTGT